CCTTGACCATGGGAGGAAGGTGGTGGCGGGGCACAGCCAGCCATACCTGCAGGTTGGTGGCCTCCTCTGCCCACCAGGCTTCAAACTCTTTCTGCAGCTTGACCTTGGCTTTGTCCATCAGCAGCTGCAAGTGCTCGATCTCTACCTTCAGGGCTTTGAGGTGCGTGAACATTGTTTTATACCTGCGGTGAAATGGGAAGAGTCCACATTTTGCCTTCTTGAAAGGACAGTGGGGTGGTCATTCAGAGGGAGGGAGGAGTCTAAGTGGACTGCCCGACCTCAGGGACCGCTGGATGCCAGCCTGCACGACCTGTGCACCACAAGCCTGGCAGTGCTGTCCTGGGGCTCTGGGCACTGGCGTCCTAGGGAGCTCACTGAGGCCAGGGTATGGTGTTAGGGTCTGAGACCACCAACGAGAAACAAAGCAAGACACAGTGGGCCCTGTGGGGCTCTGTGTGAGAGGACAACCTTTCTCCAATAATGACAGCTGGCCTTCATTGATTATTTACTAAGGGCCAGCTCCTCTTCTCGGAACTGGGTATAGATGAACTCATTCAACCCCTTCGTAACCCTGCGAACAAGATGCTGTCACCATCGCCTCTGTTTCACAGGCTTGGAACCTGAGAAATGGATGGCAAATAAACAAAGAACCCTGAATGTGAACCTGGGTTGGCTGATGCTAGAATCCATGACTCCAACAGCCTCATCTCCACACTGAGGACCCCAAGTTCAGCCTATTTGTAAATGCATGTGTGGCGTGGTAGTTACATAATCTCCTGTCAACTTGCGAAGGGGTGGAATCTAGCCTGCCAATCAAGTCGCAGCTTGATGACCTCATTTGTAGGCACCACAGAGAAAGCTGACTGGAGGCCAGATACACTCAGCCTCTCTCTGCTCCGGTCCTCCTGGTGACAAGCCACATGGAGCTACACTAGAACCCTGGAGCTGGAGAAACCACTTGGAGACCCCTGCCAGCGCTGAGATGCTTCCACTGACACTGGATCCACAAGACTTTCCACCCACAGGCCTGTGATCTTCCTGCCACCGGCATCATTGCATGTGTTTTGTGAGTCTGAAGAAGAATGTACAGATTGGTATTGGACATCTGGGCTAATATTGGACTTACAGACATGATCTGGACTGGGCTGGGATTTTTCTCAATATACAATTGCTCTTTTACATAAAGCTTTTTCCTAAACACATGAGTGTCTATGAATTTGTTTCTCTAGTCAACCCAGACTGACACATGTGGCCTTTGGAAATGCAATCACCAGGGAGCCAAAGGTTGTCTGACAGGAAGTGGCCAAGCCTGAGAGACAACATGGCTTCTGAGATGATAATCCTGCAGTGGGACATGCGGACCCACGGACACGATGCGGTTGGACTGAGGAGACAAGAGACTGAGTTGGGACAAACAGAAAAGTACACTGAGCGAGGGAGAAAGTAGACAGTGGGGTGGTGTGTGTGTGTGTGTGTGGGGAGGGTCCGTAAGGGTGGGAGGACCGTGCACCCACAGAGCCAGGCAACCACAGTGGGTGTCTGGGAAGGCAGTGCAGGGCATTCTGGGAGGAGGAAGCGGCAGGCAGAAGCCGTAATGCAGGGTCATGAGGGCCTCTGTGTCCTAGGGACAGACAGCAGGCACGTGTGAGTGGGCGTGGGGGTTTGCTCAGGCACAGATCTGGCCAGCTCGGGTGGACAGTGTTGGAATGACCACAAGCTCCTCTCAGACTGGGAAGGTCATGTGTGTGGCAGGAAGGAGACACTGAGCATTTTTGCTAGATGCATACGTGAACCAGTGAACCAAGAAGCTTGATGAGGGGGTGGGGGGAGAGGTTAAGGGATGCTCTAAGCATCTGTGATGGTCCCATGAGCAATGACGCCCTGCATGGCTGTGCGGGGCTTTGAGGCCTTCAGGAGGGCGCTTCAGGAAGGAAGTGGGATAACTCAAGGGCACGAGGAGCGCTGTGGTCCTACTTCTTGGCTCCTCCAGGTGGCAGCAGTATACAAGTCAAGCTGCCTTCTGGGTGGGTGACACGTGAAAATGCCCAGTCTTAGGACCTGGCCTGGCTTTCTGCTCCGTCCCAACTTCATCCTGCCCAGGGGCTCTGCCCTTCACGGGGGGCCTGTCCATCTCCCGCTCCTGGTATTTTAGGGCCCAACTGTGGGATCCATCCGCCCCTCCCCCTCCGACCCCCCCAACCCCTGAGCTCCAGCTCTGGACCAGGGCATGGCCTTTCTGCTGAGTCCCCAGGGCAGCCCCCGGTGGCCGCTGGAAAGCTCTGAGGGGCTGGGGTCAGAGGGTGACCAGCTGGAAGGACGGCCACCTTCTCCCACCTCCTCTTTTCTTCCTCCAGCTGCGCGCGCAGCTTCTCCTCCCGCTGGTCTGGCGTCGAGGGCACCGCCGTGTTTTCCGAGATCCCTGCGAGAGGAGGAAGCCGCGGGTTACTTACTCCACAGGGGAAGGGAGGGCACACGTTGGCCAGATGACACCGTGGACGTGCACCCCAAAAAGGAAGAGGGCCCTGTGAAGCCCTTCTGGGGCTTTGGGAGGACAGCTTGGCTTCGATGCCTCCACTGGCGGGCAATCTCTGGCCTGCTGAGAGCCCACCGCACCCCCACCCCTACCCAGGTGGAAATGTGCCCATTACCTTCCCCCAGCGGGCCTGTCTGGTATCTGTCACTGAGAGAGAAGTCTTCCTTACATCTCTCCGACATCCATTTAGAACAGAATTCACTCATTTCCTCTTGGGTCCCCAGAGTAGAGGCTAAGCAGCGTTTTCCCATCCTGGGATGGAGAGCCCTTCGCAAACCCACAAAACATCACTCAGCTGTCCTGTCTCTTTCTTTGTGCCGGTGGAAGTGGCACATTTTCTAGCCTCATGGTTTGTGTCTTTTACTTCCCTCTGATGCAGTGGTTCTCAAGCCTTTTACACACACACACACACACACACACACACACACCCCAATGCTGGGCCCCAACCTGAAAGATTCTGGTTTGGCTGGGCCAGGAGAGGGTCCAAGAGTGGTATTTGGTCCATGTGCTCCTCACGTGATGCTAGTTAGCGACCAGAGGCGAGAGTCCTGCTCAGATACCCTGCTGACAAGCCTTGGCTGTACAACCAGGCGGTGCTTGAGGGAGGGATGGCTCTGTCAGGTGCAATAAGTGAGTGGCCACACCCGGCATCTTACGGTCGTCTGTCAGTCTGGCCACCATATTGTTGCTGTGGATGCCTCCCGGCCTGCTCTGGCTCCAGGGCTTGTTTGGTTCTTCACCAGCTGGTGGGCGGGAGAGAAGGGGGTGGGGTGGGTGGTGGGTAGGGGGAGGTCTGCTTATCCTAGGAGTCTCTTTGTGGATGCTCCAGTTTTCCTTGCAACACAGAAGCCACACAGCTTTGCTTTTGACCCGTGGAGGGGAGAACCTGTTGGATAAGATGTAATCCTTTCAGCACGCAGGCCAGGTAAGTACTGTTACTGCCATGTTACTTCTGAAAACACAGAGGCTCCAAGGTGTTAACAAGCCCAAGGTCACGTGGGCACCTTTGGGAACCTTGATTCAAATCCAGTTGTCTGTGGCTCCCAGGGCTTTGCATCTAGAGATCCCTCCTGCAGTCTTTCTGACGGATAGACATCTTCTCAAATGCTTCTGGTGAGGAGGAGCTCGCTGCTTCGCAGTACCACATGGCAGTGTGAGCATCTCTGTGTCCTCTCACTCTGACGGAGCCTTGCCCCAGTCAGTCCTGCTCACTGCTCCTAGGGCTCTTCAGAACAGCACAACACAGCACACACCCCCTTTAATCTGGTGGCCCTCTACACCCTTTAGCAACAACAAGCTGCCATCTCTATGGTGCTATGTTCTCCACCCGACTCTGTCCAGTTCTCTCACCTGAGGTCTCAGTGATGTGGTGTGGCAGTTACATAATCTGTCAACTTGCGAAGGGGTGGAGTCTAGCCTGTCAATCAGGCCATAGCCAATGAGGCCTCCCTGTGGGCATGGCCTTCCCCTGAGGATTCTGGAAACTCCTGTCCTTCTCCCTGGAGGTGGAATTCACTCTTTGCTTTGTCTTCCTGCTGACAAGACATATAGAGCCACGTGGAGACCCCTGCTACCACTGAAATGCTTCCACTGCCACTGGATCCAAAGACTTTCCACCCACTGGCCTGTGATCTTCCTGCACTCGGCATTATTGCATGTGTTGCATGAGTCTGAAGAGGAATTTATATATATATGGGCTAATATAAAATATATATATGGGCTAATATCAGACTTGTGGACTTGATCTGGCCTGGGCTGGGATGTTTTCTTAATATACAATTACTTTTTACATAACACTCTTTCTTATACAATTAAGTGTGCCTGTGAATTTGTTTCTGACTAGCACATGTTGTTTACAGACTTCTCCTTCAACTTTCCTATTTCTACTGGCTGGCCCTTGCATGCATATGAGGTGATGGAAAAGACCGTGGCTTGGGTCAAGTTCACCTTAGTCTTCAAAGTGATATCTCGGCTTCTTAACACTCTACGAAGAGGTCTTGTGCTGCAAGTTTGCCTGATGCCATGCATCACCATGTGAAAGACTGCCTGCTGCTTCCAGGGTGGTTGCTTGTGGATCCAGGTAGAATGAGATCATCAACAACCTCAACGCCTTCCTCCTTCCTCATGATAGTGCTTATCGGCCCAATGGTGAGGGTTTTTGTTTCTTTCCACTCCAGTGTGGTCCAATGTGTCTTTGACCTTCATCAGCAAGTGACCTTCATCTTCCCCAAGACACTCAGTGAGGTAGGTCTCTGCTCTGAGGTGACTGGCTGGATGTCCTGCACCACATACACTGCTGGAGTTGGGTGGAGGAAGACGGCTGCGTCTGCACACAGTAGTCCCCTCGGCCTGCCCAGGGGAAGCCGTCTAAGGACTTCATTGAATGAAAGGCAGGTGGGAAGAAACACACTCAGATGATTTTTTTCTTCCATGGAAAAGCAATGGCTGACTTTGCCTGGGTACAGAGCTCTGTTATGGGAAAGAGGTTCTTGCCCCATTGCTGGGCTGACTTTTCCTTGGAAAGCTTACAGGTTCCTCTAGCAGAGCACAGTTATTGGTGCCCTAGGCACGCGTAGGGTGCTTAGGATTCCCAGGGAAGGCGGAACATCCTGAATGCAGCTGGTTGAAGAACAGAAAGCTACTATCCGTTCCTGCTCACAGAGTGCAGTCACTGTCTAGTCACGTGCATCGATCCCCATCACTCTGCTCGGCAGGTGTGATCGTGCTCATGTCACAGACAAGGAGACTGGGGATCGGGGACATCTAGGTGGCTTGCACAATTCCACAAGGCTACTGAAGAGCAGAGCCAGGGCTCACCCCAGGCCTCGTCATGCATGCACTTACTTAATGATGGCTTGCTAAGGGCCTACTGTGTGCCTGTCCTCATTCCAGGATCGTTCTAGTGGAGAAGACGGAATGTCAGGCCAAATGTAACACTGAGGACAGAATACGGTGCTAGGGATGGAAAGAAGGGAGCCCTGGTGGCGTAGTGGTTCTGTGTCGGGCTGCTAACTATGAGGTCATCAATGGGAAACTGCCAGCTGCTCTGAGAGAGAAAGATGGGGCGTGCCATTCTCGTGAAGAGTTACAGTCTTATTGGGCCTCGACTCAAGTCCTCCCTCAACACAAGAACACTTTGTTCTAACAATCTGGCATTCTGTGATGCTCACCTTCCCGACACGATTACTGAAGACAAAATGGGTCCATAAGCAAATGTGGTGAAGAAAGCTGATGGTGCCCGGCTATCAAAGGATATGGCGTTTGGGGTCTTAAAGGCTTGACGCAACAAAGCCCACATGGAAGAAACACACCAGTCTGTGTGATCATGAGGTGTTGATGGGATCAGATAACAGGCATCTAAGACCCAGAACTAAACAATACCCAAGGTGAATTGGGGGCAGAGGGCATGGAGTGGAGACCTAATGCCCATCTGGACAATTGGACATCTCCTCACAGAGGGGTCACAGGGAAGAGATGAGTCAGGGGGGCAGTATAGCACTAATGAAACACAACTGTCCTATAGTTCTTTGGTGCTTCCTTCGCCCCACTATCATGACCTCAATTTTACCTTACAAATCAGATTAGACCAGAGCATGCACACTGCTACAGATAAGAGCTCACAGCACAGGGAATCCAGGATAAATAAACCCCTCGGGGCCAACAATGATAGAGATACCAGTAGGATTAGGGGAGGGAGGAGGTAGAAATAATGGAAAAGTGGGTGAGGGGTGATGGAGGATGATGTAAGATATGGAAATAATAATCTATAACTTATCAAGGCTTTATGAGGGAGAATGGGTGGGGGAAGGAGTGGGAGGAAATGGGGAGCTGATATCAGGGGCTCAAGTGGGAAGAGAATGCTTTGAAAATGATGATGGTGGCTTATGTGCAAATGTGTTTGACACACTGGATAATGTATGGATTGTGATAAGAGATGTAAGAGCCCCCAATAAAAGTATTAAAATAAAAAAAAGAGTTACAGTCTTGGGAACCCATAGGGGCAGTTCTACCTTGTCCTACTGGGTCCCTATGAGCTAGAAACGACTCAGTGGCAGTGAGAGGGATAGAAAGCACTTGGGGAGACACAAAGAGCTATGAGAACAGAGCAGCGTGGCTGAAAAGACAGAAAAAGAAGCTTCTAGATTGGGTACTGCAATGGACTGAATTTTGTCTCCCCAAATCTGTTTTGATTCCTAACCGCTATAACACAATGGATGCAATGCAATGTCACGCAATGCCACTCAATACAACGCAGTGTGGTTACATTATGTAGCGCAGTCTAATGTCATGCAGTTAATCCATCAGTGGAGGGCAGGCCAGGGTAAGGTGTATTGCAAACTGAATCACGCCCGAGTTGCATAAAGACGAACATGGACCTGAGACCTGAGCACTGGCTCCGGAAGACAGATGCCAAGTGAGAACAGCCAAGAACCAAGGTGGCGTGGGGCGGTTCCGAGGAAGGCACTACCATGGTGACCAGGCCCCTGAAGGAGAACTTCAGCTTCCAGAACTGTGAGAACATAAGTTCCTGTTCTTGACAGTCACCCACTTGTGGGATGTCTTTGATAGCAGCAGTAGGAAACTAAGGTTAGGTAGCATGGTCCGGGGGAGGCCTCTCTGAGGAGGGGCCATTTGCACAGAGACCGGAAGGAGGGGAGGGCCAAGCGTGCAGAAATCAGGAGCGGAGTGTACCTACGGTGAGTGCAGAGGGTCTCAGGTGGGAGCCTGCCAGGTCTGCCTTAGGAGTAGCAAGGAAGTCTAAGTGCCTGGCACAGTTGTTAGGGGAGAGAGCGATGGGCGCTGAGGCCGGTGAAGATACTGAGGTTAGATCACGCAGGGCCTTGTAGGCCATAGTCAAGGTTTAGCTTTGGGAGAGATGAGGGGCT